TTAAAATCAAATAAAGTTTGGTACTTTCCAACGCTATTTAATTACTTAAACTTCATATCAGCAAGAGAAAAATCTTACCGACTTCTCATAGCCCACTTTTTAAATTAATTTTTCAAGTTTCAACTAAAGTTCCTATTCATTGTTATAAATATGCTAGTTAACAATGATGATTTAAGACTAATTATATGATTTAAGCAAAGGAAATTCTGGAAGATAGCGATTCCAAAGGTTTCACAGTGAAAAAAATGTATATGATTTATGAGGTTGTTAAATTTCAACACTTGTTAGATTGCCCGCCTAACATATACGTACAAACGGATATAATTACATAGACAGAAATTCATGTGATGACAAATCCGTAATTTAGTGACATTGTTAAAAGAGAATGGATTGAAGGGATAGATCCAAAACTAACGAAGACATATTTTCTAAGGGATGCGTTTTCCTTTCCCCTCCTCCTAACAACCTTATTATGATTATTTACGCTAACTCTGCCATGAGCAAGCTTGGACAATTGAATTACTCATTTACTGCTTTCCAATTTCCGAGTGCTTCGAAATAGGACTTTGTAAAGTCTTCATTTTTTCAAAAGTTTTTCTCACATATGGTCTTGATTCCGAAAATATCGAAGTGCTATTTACTCCGCAAAATTTCAGAGTATTTCTTATATGTATGAAAAATTCATTAGCAATAACATATCTTTCTCCTCATTTCACTTTGCAATCAATTTGACTATCTAATAAAAAATTTCAAAATCATTAGCATTGATAACGAGTAGTAACCATTCAAAAATTGATAGCTTTCGAAGATTTTGGTTCTGAAGGATATATTAAGCCTTCAAATAGAACTTATGTTAAATAGAATGAAGTAATTTATAATATTATGAATCTTTCTAAATGTTCCCTATGCTTTATCCAATATTTTTCACCACCAATTTGAATATATTTTATGCTAAAGCATATAAAATATGTAAAATGAAAAAATATCCTTTCATGTTATCGAAGAAGAGCAGCTTCGAAATAGCGTTAGATTATCAATTCCAAATTTAACAATAGAAAATTAAACTGCATACTAATTTTCAAATAATTATGAATCAAATTTTATGTTCATAGTTCGCTGCCATTCAGTTTTCATGTAAATTCGAAGAACTACACTGAACTTTCTAAAAAATATTTAAAATGAAAGTATTTTTTTTGGTTTCAAAAATGGATTATTGAATTCCTTTAAAAACATAATCAGAATTGACCAATATATTTTAATCGATGAAAGAACATGGATAGAAAAGATTTCAACTTACTGTTAATAAGCTTTAACGAATTATTTTTCAAATGCATTCAATATTTTTGTTGAGTAAGAATGAAAACGAAACTTGTTGTTCCCATTCGCTTGAGGACTCCATTTGACGGAGGTATGAACTTGAGACTTATTAGAATTTTAAGTTAAAAAACAAACTTCCGAATTGCAAGTAAATGTCCCAATATTGGAAATTCTTTAGAAGTAAAAGATCCACAGGAGAAAAATACAAATGCAGTTTTGCATTTGTATTTTAAAGATGTATGTGATACCTAACAAAAAATATTTCTTAATGCATGTCAAGATTCTTTTGATTCTAGATGACGTGGACGTGGATATACATTCATTTGTTAACACAAATTTATGATAAATTTGATAGGAAGCTGAAGAACTCAACATGTCATGTTTGGTATTTGTGCATATTTGCTATATTATCTTCGATCCTATTATTTGCCAAGAAAGACAAATAGGGTGCTAGAAAAAGTTTTCTCGAGGGACCAATCTCCGCTGATGTTTTCTTCCTAAAACTTAGTTTCATCGCACATATATATATATATTTTTCAAAACTTAGAATATGTAAATAATTGAAATTCCAGCAACCATTTGTTTCAAAATATTATTACTTTTTTTAAAACCGATTCAATATATCAATTCCGGTTATTTAGTTTAATATTTCTCCCGATAATATCGTTCCTGCACTTCAGATATGACTCATGCATGAACGCTTTTGAAAAAAAGTATCACAACTGCAAATGAAAGAATAAAAATAAGCCCTTCCTTTATTCAAATTAAAATTTTCAGTTTATTCCATCGTCAAAAAAGAAAGTTTTCTAATATCAACTAATTATATAGTAATAGGAAAAAATTAAAAGACAAAGAAATAGTTTTATGTAATGATAAAACTCGAATAAAAAAAAGCTGAGAGAGAACTGGTATATTGAGAACGAGGCCATCAAATTGATAGCTAAATAATTGTTGTGCAAAAGGAAAGGCGGAAATGTGTTATTGGAGTGGATTCATAAATTATCACATTTACTATTCCAAGCCTGGGAGAATTCTTCGAACACTTGGAATTATTCATCCCATGAAAATCTGCTTTTCATCATCTAATTCATTCCTTTTAAATGGATTTCAGGAATTTCATGTTTTTTTCACTTTCTACCTATAAGTTTTTAAATCAAATTTGCTTTTTACATTCAAAACTTCTTCGCCATTCTTGAACTAATCCATAATTTTTTTATTCCATTTTTTCCAAAAAGTATTAATTAGAATGATCCAATTGGTAGTGATTGCAATGAATTTTTCAGACTTTGGAAGTTTTTCCTCCATTGAAAATGTATATATCGCAAGAGAAGCTAAATAATAAGCTATTGATTTGTTAGAAAAATCATGGATTTTAAGAGATTAGTAGGTGGAATTTGCAAAATCCTTAGTGAATTTCTTTTTTTTTTTTGAAAGTCAAGCATTTTCCAACTTTTCAAATTTACTTGTTCGTTTGAAAATCAATACAAATATCACTCAAAAAAATTTCTACGAAAGTCATAAATCATTGAAAAATCGAACCAGCAATGTGAAAATGATTTGAAACAAGAAAGATGAAGCAATCATATATGGTTTACGTAATTGACGTAGAATTTAATAAAATAAGTACTTGGATATAACTTTTTTACGACCAGACTGAAGATTGTCATGATCGGCGTTATCAAAAATAATTGGTAGTGATTATGGGCAGATATTTTTTCAATCAATTTTTAGAGATTTGGTTTCTAAGAAACCTGAAAACATATCAATGCTTTCTTACTATGCTAACATAAAATGGATAAACAATAAGATGAAAAAAATAAAACTTTCTTTGGTAGAGTAACATAGTTTACTTGAAAAAAAGATTTTTAAAATGAAAATCACAAAAGATATAATATAATAGTAAGCTTAGCTTTCACTTTAAATTAAAATGAACAACCGTTAAGAAAAGAAATGTATCTCTGATTAAAGCTTTTTCATAAGAGCCAATTTTATCGTTCATAATGAAACAGCTTTCATTCCAAAGTGTTTTCACTAGCATTATTTACCTGAAGGATTTCTGTTTCAATATGGTTGCACTAAAAAGATTTTCCTACAGAGATAAAAATCCGTAATGGCAATAATCGTCCGAAATCATAAATCATCAAACCAAACGGAACAAGTTTTACGTCTTTACTGAACTATGTATATTTGCTTCTTCTGCCTTCTTCACTCTATGCTAATTTCTCCATGCATCCATAAATTTTTTCAAAAGAAACCTATGTTAGCTCAGCTTGCTATTCAAAACCATTATTGTTGATGGCATCACCACCATCGTATTCGATTCTCGCAAATCCTTTCGAAATCCATTCACCAATAATGCCGAATTTGTTTCACCAAAACTTATCCATCGTTTCATTGCTTTATTGATGTATCGTTCCAAACGTTTTTGTCAGGTATTAAATAAAATAAAATCTGACCTTTGATTTTTTGTCTAAAACTTCTTTTTTTTCAAATTCAAATTAAAACCCTTCTGAAATCACAGCAATTACAGGCTCCTGCTACCAAACAGCTACAGCTATCCGAAGAAATCTGTGATAGTGAAAAAAAAGTCAAAAAATCGAATTTGTAATTTTCAAAGCTTTAAAGTTTGCAATGATTCCCGAGCTCCATACCAATAATACTGTTTTTACATAAGTGTTCTCTTAGCAGGACTCCTAATACTCAATCTTCTTAAGTTCTGCAGATAAAAAGATTGAAAATGATCTGCAATCTACAATGGAAACTTTCCGGAGTGTGGATAAAACTGTAATGTGTCTGCAAATTGTTTAAGTTAAAAGAGAAAGAAAAATGCGAAAATTTCGTGGTTCATACGCAACTTTGTTGCTCAAAACGAACCTTCCTCGACATTTCTTTTAAAAAAAACCACTTTGAAATTACATTAAAAGTTTGAAGTCCACTACTTTGACATTGCTGTCGAAACTTTGCAAGAACGTAGACTGCATATTCCCATGAGTGATGTTTTCCCGATGTGTATGTAATGACGAGAAAAAAAAAAGAAAGCCACACGGCTATATCATCCAAAGAACTCAGAAGCCTGCTGTCAACCGTTTGCGAGTTAGGGCTTTTAAAATGGTCCGAACTCCCCGTTATTCTAAACCACCCAACCAACGGCAGTGAATTGCCCTGACAACTTAATTTAACTATTGCTATGCAACAGAAAGAACTGGTAACATTTACTAAAACATCACATACTACACACAACACATGATAATGAAAGCTGGAAAGCCTAGAGCTACAAACAATTCCAAGCAAATAGTACACAAATGAAATATTGTCATAAAAAAGTGAAGTCACTTTACAGATCAAAAGAACTTAAAAAGCGAGTGACGTTGTTACTCTTGTGATTCAGTTCATTAGATTTTAAGCTGAGTAAACGTCATATCCTTCTCAATCATTTCAGAACCGAATGCAATAAATATCTCCTGACGTGATTCACCTTCATATATAATTCTTTTCATATGGAATTATGATTACTTCGACCAATACCCGATTATGAAAAAAAAATGAACACTTGAGTGCGGATAATTGATATCACCAACAACAATATTTTAACGAGGTTTGGATTTACCAGCTCTTCAATAAAAATTTCCACTAAACGTTCCAAAAAATACTAATTCTGACTGTTGTAAAAAGAAAAAAGAAAGCTAGACGTCAGTGGATATACAAGAATTTGCTTTGACCGGGCTAAATTCATCACTATCCACCGCAAAACCTCTGTTACGTAAATTTTCATCCAAATACCACCTGAAATTCAATTTTATTAACCGAATGAAAGCACTCAATTAGACATAAAACCCACCAGTAAAACATACGTAATTTGAAAAATGGTACAAAAAAATGAAACGTTTGAAAGATGTACAAAAATTTTATAAAAATTCACCTATAAGCATCGTATTTCTGCCGAATTCGGAAAGAATACTGTTTTTCCTCATCTTCCAGTATTTTTAAAAAATTCTCAAGTTCTGGAACCTCAAACATATCCCACTGAAATCACAGTAGTTTCAATATGTATTTTTTTTTCGAGAAATAACGTCTAAAACTTTTAATAAATAACAAATGAAATCTTTCAGCTAAGAAAATTTGAGTCTGATACAAGCGAAAATATTATAATGATGGACAAACCAAAATATCTCCTGTATCATTCTCTTGCAAAACTAATTGGCGTTTCTCACCCTTCTCTTCCCATGAGCGCACAATTTTAAGTGGATATAACTCGTCCGGAATGCGCGTTAAACTATCTTAAATCAGATCTGATTTCCACAAACGTCACAAACTAAAGTATGGGAGAACATTAAAATAAATGAATATATCGAAACAAGAAGTCCGCAGAGCTTATATTGAAGAACGAGAAATTTTGCAAAGACATACAATTTTGTATAGCTGGATTTCCTGAAGACTGACAGATGCGTTCATATAGTGCAAATTTCCGTGGATTATCTGCAACTCGGAATTTTCGGAGCAAAGTTACAATTATTTCTCTGAAAAAAATGTGAAATATATTTGGCTAAGTAAATAAAATGAAAGGACTATATTTAAAATAAAATTATTTCTAGTGAATAAAAGTGGACATAAAACAATCTACATATACCTAGTAGTCATCTTGCTGCTTATATTCACATTCCTAACAGTATTTCTCGGAAGAAAAAATGTTGTGATTGTCCTTACAGAACTGGTAGTTACAGATCCTGAAAAAAATAGATAAAGGTATTCGTCCACGAATTTCCATAAATGTTCCAAATATTTCGAAGAACCAGTGTTCGACACTTAGTGTAAAACGCTACGAAATAATGTCATAGCAAAAAACTCACCCGATTCGTTAGTAACATCCAGAAATGAAAGCGAATCGCCAGCTACCACATTAATAGGCCGCATAAAATTCATGTGAATTTGCACAAAACCGCTCGTTTCGTCTTTTTGTTCCTATATAAATTTGTAATTTGTTCATAACATTGTCAATAAAGAAGCTCAAAAAGAAAAAGAGAATGTTACGACTTTTACGTCTCCTAATTTATAAATGACAATTTAAAACTTTGAAAGGACAATAGAGAGAGGTGCAAACCTCAAGAATCTCGTCAGTTTCATTGAACATTTTGAGATTTGAACAAGAAGTTACGGCTAATTCATGACATGAATTTAAGGTACTATCCGCTGTTTTGCAATCAAGTGTTACAAGCGATCTACATTTTGCGTGACAAGTATAATTACAGTCTGTAAGAAAAAATTCAATATAATTGGCTTGGTATTTTCAAAATCTAGACTTTCGTGAAAAAAACATGTATGATGCTTCCGTGACTTACTACTTTCAAGACCTAATACCAATCACCAATTTTTTATAGGATTGACTTACTATCACATCTCACTGCTCGTGTTAAAAATCCCCACATAAAATCTCCACATTTGTCACACCAGGTTGGATGGGTAATAGACAGTGACCTGAAACGATCGAAGAACATTTAACCAAATTTAAACTAAGAAAATTCATTCATTTTAAGATATCTTACAAGAAATCATGTCCTTTTCCGAGATGACTACAACCCGTAATGAGATTCTTCAACGGGCCAAAGTGCTGCAAAGCAAGGGTGTCGCCAAAATCAGTTTCCTCCCATAACCATGAGCCTATCGTATCACCCTGTAAATTGAACTGACTTAAAATCGGTTTGCGATTAATTTAATACTGCTAAGAAACTTAAAACTTCTGTACTATTAAAAAATGTACGTCAAAGATAACAGGAACAGCAACAGTAGCGATAACAAAAATAAAAATGAAAATGAAAATTGAGAGAGTAAGCTGAATACAATTATGAAGTTGTTTAAATTAGAAATCATTAAACTTACTCCATTTACGTCCAGTGCTGGATCGATGTATGTCTCCAACTTCTTTGAAACATCATCCAGCCTCCGCTCCGATTGATCATCTTTGCAGTCCACTTTTCCTTCATCTTTGTCACCGGGTAACTAGAAAATATAAACATGCTCCTAGTATCTCTACTAACTGTTTCAAAGGCTATAACTCTGCAGATCGATATCAAAGAATGCACTTCATATCAATACCTCAATGTCAAATCGTCACGGATAAAGTGCACTGACTGCCTTCTCCCACGACATTCATTTTCAGTTCTAAAAAACGCACTCTCAGATTTCCGCCAATAATCACGAACTCAGCTCCTAACAGTTCAATTTCTTCTCTCACCTCGAACTATTATTCCATATAACTGTGAAAGCGCTTACCACTTCCTCTATTGGTGCTATATAATTAAAATTCCTAATTCCAAGCTGGCTCAGCCACTCCGGCATATTAAGCTGCGAGATCCTTGCACGAAGTCCGGAAAACCACCTCAAAATACGATAAGCTTTTTCAACACAGTACTGGTGTTCTTAACTGATTAAGTGAAATTCAGGCTAGCGTAAACAATTACATTGAATATAAAATTTATATTTTCTACGAAAATTCTTGCGTCGTCAAAACAAAAAAAAATGACAAGTAAAACTAACCAATACCTCGGCTGTTGAGTGGCGGATTGACGTGATCGTACATGTTTTCTATCATTTCCGTTATTAATATTCCCACCACAGTCCAAAGTCTTACTCATACTAGTTATATCGCATTAGCCTCTCTAGAAATATTATTAATCCGATATTGGTCTTTACGCCATGTGAGACGGGTAAGTCCTCCTTCCCCGATATCCTCCAATGGGTATCTAATATACGAACGGCCGAACTTTACACGCGTTTCAGTGAAACAAAATTCGAGTAAAATCCGAAATCAAATAAAATCAGGTGTGTGAGGTTGGAGGTATTTCACGCGCACCATGGCGCAATTGGTAAAATGGTCATTTGTATTACTGGGAAGATGAGGAGGGTATGATTCGTCCTTCCTCATGTGGATGGTATATAATGGAGATTATTTATTTAGACCGAAATTCAATAGCGAATGGATAGATCTTAACTGAACCGTTAGGGTCTTTCGAAAGTCATATTTTCTTCATATATTCTTTCTTTAATGAGCAATAATAAATTATTACCTAGAGATAACTGATTGCCTTTCCAAAAAATCTATCCTGAAGGGTTAGTATTTGCAATTTCTCTTTGATTCTAGCTTATGCTTTAGTCCACCTTTTTATGGAACAATCGTCGTACCCCTAAATATCTTTAACCGACGATAGATCAAAAGAAATTCTCATCATATGTAAAGAAAAAGAAATTTTGATGCACGATCTTTCTCTTCTCTCTCCGTCTTTGTTGTTTTGTTGAAAAGAAAATCATCATTTCATTTATTTCACCCTTTCCTCTCCCTCTTACCCTGTTCACAACATGCTAAGCCAAAAGTAAATCTTGAGTAGAGGTAAACAGAAACTAACGACAGCGCGCACAGGATCAGATTTTCAAGAACTATCACCAATATTAGTGCAAAGATGAATTAAATGGTTCATACTATGAAATGGTCACGGTCACTCGACAGTAAACACTGCAAATCAGTAAGAACAGTTCATTGAATCGATTCTACATGTAACAGGAATTTTATATATGTTTGGTGAAATTTCCATGTTTATTCAGAAAAAGGACCAAACGGTAGAAGAGTTGAGCAAAAGGGGAGGAAGAGATAGAATGATATAAAGGGTATTAGGAGTACGACGATTTTTAACTTAGGGGTACGATCGTCATACCCCTTAAACAGTACTTTAGGATGGTAAAGCAAGCAAATATGCGGTTCAGTGTCAATTTAATGGATAATTGCTCGATTACACTCTGAACCTTCTGAAGATCGATAAAATGAAATTTTAAGGTTCGTAAAGGATGGGCACGAAATTTACTGAAAAAATTTATGATGCGATATACAAGAGCGATGGAAATTCTTTTAGTATATGACTGAAAGTAATGGTTTTCTTGCAGCTTTCATTGTTTCTCTGAATGAAGTGTTTTAATGTGTGCAGTTGTTCCCATGCCCATTTATCTTGTTTGTCCGCCCTGTCTGTACTTTCTAGCTATGAAGCAGTTTGGCTCTGCACAGCTGCTTATAGATCAAGCAATAACCACGAAGAAAGCAATTGCAAAAACGTTTGTGGAATGAACGTTTGATTACGGAAACAACACTCACACTTCTGTTCTCCATCTTCTTAAATTTCACTGCCATGACCAATCCACAGCAAACCTACAACTACATGTTATTGCAAATTTTTACCTACAATTCTAGATCATACGTTGTATCCATACCCATGTGACAATAACATTGATTCACTTCTGATACAAGCATTGCTAACAGCATCTATTCCAAAAAAAATATTCCACATCTGGATCATTCGTCAATTTGATAGTTTAACAAAGATTGAAAGTTATAAATTGTGAAGCGTGTTATTGTATACTTCCCTTTGCAGATGTACTATGATTTACAAGCGATTTATTACATTCAAGACATATGTCAGCAACAGCAAAAATAAGAAAATACGTTTACAAAATACATTGAAATAATGATGTCATGAAATGTACCATTGAAATATTGGGGTTACTGGACTGCACCAATTACATTAGCGAAACATAAAATTTGACCAGACTTCATTTATTTTTTGGACAAAAAGAAAAGTAAAAACTATTTTAACGTGCTCTTTTCGGAACTTGATTTGTACCCTGAAAATATCCTGAGCAAACAGTCAAAACAGATCCAACCAAATATTACCTATAAACATTGTAACTTATTAGGAAAATTATGCTTTTCGTTAGTAGAAAATGTATCCAACGTGCATTTAACAATGCTTTGGTATATTTCAAACTCAAAGAAGTAGCATTTCTCTAGCCTACAAATATTTCACTATTTATGATACCGTAACACTTTATCTTTCAAGGCACAAAAAATCGATGCCAAAAATCGAAAAAATCGAGTTCTCTTTATGAGAAAACCTTTTTGCCATAATATATGCTAGCTTCCTTTAGTTTCACGATGTCCTTAAATTCTAAGCTTAGAATTCATGATACTGTTAGCAACAACATATGATTTCATAACGTATTTAGGAAATGGGGTTGGTATCACCCTAACCTAACAACGAAAACGTGAAATACAAAGCGATAGTCACTAGCTGGACAATAAAACAAATTAAAGAACAAAAGCAGATAAGGAAATTTCCTCAAACCCCTCTCATACATTATCGAAATAAATTATAATAATGACACCGGTCATCGATCGACTAGAACAATACTAGTTCAGTAAATTAATAAAACTCTCCGAAAGCAGGACCACAAGGTGACAATCCATCTACAGCTTTATAGAAGTCTACCATATTACTTTCTCATTTTCCAATTTCCCTCTCCTCTTCTTCAGTGATAATAAATAAACTAAGAATACCATACGATGCAATATAAAAAACTTCCCTCTGAATTATAAATACAAAAATAAGAACAGTATGCATAATACGACAAATCCTTAAAAACAGAAAAACGGAGAAGCGACACGAAAAGGTTGCAAACTGTGAGCTACGAAGAAATACTTGAATTAAAGTAACAAATGGCAAGGGCAACTTTGAAAGCAAGCTAAAAAACTTCCAAATAAAAATTAATTTGTTACGACTTAATCATCATGGTGAATCCACAGCTTTGTAACAAGATGCTTCAAAGAATGAATCGTCAATAGACTTGAAATTTACCCATTAACTGATTGCAAGTTTGGGAAATTCGTAGTCCCGAACTTCGAATATGACTAGATTTGAACAGTTTTCAGGAACGACAAAATAAAAAAAAGAAAGTTCTTGGCTTCTAAGAATGAGGATCAAATAAAAAAAAACTTCCAAAACATACAATCCGAAAAGTGCACACACCAAACATAAAATAAAGATCATAAAAGTATTACAATGATCATTTCCAAAAAAAGTAAAGAACGAAGAAAAAAGGAAATCAATCCGAAAATGAGTTTGTATATAATTTTTCAGTCGAGAGAACCAGTGAAAAACCGATACGTGCAGTTGATTGTTTTCAAATTGTTGCAGTTGTTGCTGGTGGTATAGTTGTTGTACTGTTGCTGACATTTGGACTGGTGCGATGAGCCGACGGACTGGCCATTGGTGATTGTGTTGGGGTTGCCATTGATGGAGGCATACGTTCATTGATTTTATCTAACCGCTTTGCTTCATCAAATGATTGAATTCGATGACCAGGTCCCAACCCAGATAATGCTACAAATACTGCATATAATTCGGTAATTATATCTTCCGCGTATGACAGATGCTATATAAATAAATGTGTTCCTATCTACGACCCATCTTAACCCTCCGAATTTTCTGAATTCAACCCTAAAATTCCGTAGTGGCCAAATAACACCAACTCTTAAAATGAATGGTGATGTGAACAAGTATACATAATTTTACTGCATCTTGCCAGCTGTTTTTAAAAGGACCAGGCCTATTTGGTAGAACTTCTGGTACCACTGCAGTCTTAACACAAAATAATACGGGAATACATGTGTACTGAAGCAAGCAATAAGAACAGCAGACAACGGTAAAAATAATATTGCAGTCTGTAAAGCAGATGCCCACATATTTATAAGCGAACGAAGGAATCTTCCAAATGACACTGAAAAATAAAATAGTTCCGCAATTCGATGATTAGCTAGTTTCACTAATCGCTCTCGATGATCTCAGTCACGAAATTCAACTCAAAAATACGTAAACCGCTTCCTTTCAAAATATCATCATAAATGGTCACTTCTCAAATACCGCCTACCACTTGCCAAAATACCAAGCAATAACCACAGAGCAACTAAGTGATCATCCCTATAATGACAATTCTTGATAATTGTATCATGATGTCAAGAAGGAGCAAAACTTTTTATCGAATATTAAGCCTTCACTACAGGCAAAAAACAAATTAGAAAAACTTCTCGAAGTCAGAGGAATGGATTTAACACCGTTGGATCAAATGCTGACCATAGAAGAAACCTGCCAACAATACAAAGCCAGAAAAAGGATTATAGAAGAAAAAATGTGCCTCGAACTACACCTTCGCACTCTCGAAACCGCCAACGCAAATTAGCTGCAATACATTTAGTAAGTCTCAATCCCGTCAAGAAAAAAGTGAGGAAAAATGCACTTAAAAGGTCTACAAAGAAATAGGTTCTTTAAATGTAATAAGTGAAGGTAAAGAAATGATAACTTCGACTATGTTCCTGAGTTAGTACTTCAACGCCTAACGAAGGCTACATAATGGATGAACTAATTCGCCAACAAGAGACACATAACCCAACTAAGAGTTTGCCTCAACTACCACTGCCTATATTCAGTGGCGATCCAAAATTATGGGGAGAATTCTGGAGTACTTTTGATGCCGCAGTCCATCTGCAAAAAATTCCAGATATTCAAAAATTAAATTATCTAACCGCATGTTTCCTTCATAATTTTCCATTATGACGTTATAAAGAAGGTCCTTATCGAAAAATATGGAAATCACATACAGTTAAAAAATCACCCCATAACTAATTGCATTTCATCAAGATAAACAATCGGGAATGTAAATTAACAGTCATAGCTATTGAAAGAATATTTTGGCAACTAGAAGCTATGGACGAAAATCTAGAACAGTTCACCATCGAAATTATGATTGAAAATAAAATGCCACCCTAGATTCTACATAAAATTTATCAAAAAAAGGAACAAGAATCATGGTCGGTTACTGAACTAAGACAGCTCCTTGGAAAACTCGTTCTAAGAAACGAAGAAGTAACTAGAAATCAAGCTTTTGGTAATAGGGAAGTCGATTGAGAATGAACCGAAATCATATTCACGATATGCAACAGAAGAAACTTCGGTATTAGCTATCATTACATCATTGGCACACACACAATTTTAAAAAGAATACGAAATATGACAAGACTTTGCACACCTCACAATAACGATCACTGGGGTAGTGAATGCCAAACTTATCGTATTTTCGAGCAAAGGATGGACTGGTTGAAAGAAAATAATGCCTCTAAACTGTCTTTAATCATACACAACCAATTGCAACAAAAGGAAAAGTGTATGTTTCCATTGCGAAGATCCTCACAATACTGCTCTATGCTACAACAAATACAAGGACTGTGCAAAATCTGTTAGACCAATTAAAAAGAAAAGAAATTCGATAAAAGTAATCAATCCAGTAATAAATCAAAACGACCAACGAGATAAGGAAGTCTTATTCTCTGTGAAGAGGTTGAAAAAGTTTGAATAATGCTAGAATTACAAAAGTAGTTTGATTTGATAATGGTTCGCAAATAAGTTGCATATCGAAATTAGCAAATCAACTGAAATTAGAAGAAATTGATTATGAAGGGATGAAAATTGCACCATTCAGTGATAGAAACTTTCATTCAATTCGACAAAGCTCAAACTATAGATTCAGAAATCTTCTTGATCAACTCAGTGGTCGGCACAATGAGAGGTTTATACTGAAAAATTCCACGATTCTAATAGCTCATACTGAATGTTATATTACTCAGAATGAGGATGGTTCTCAGATTTTCAACATTTCAGACACAGATTAATTATAGAAATTAGAATTCATAGGAATGCAAGAACAGCCTAATACTCATGATGGTGAACAAGTCTTAAAAAGGTTAAAAAAGTATTACTAAAATTGATGAAAGATATTAAATCGCTTGGCCATGGAAAGAATTAAAATTGAAGTTAAGGGAGGATTTTGGATTATGCTTTGGTCATTTAAAATCATTAATCCAGAAATCAATAATGAACATTTACTTCTCAAGTAAAATGAAATAATTCTCAATCAATTACAATCCAATGTTATCAAAAGTTCATATCACTCATTATCTACCTCGTCATGAAGTTATAACTGCAAGTAAAACCAGAGTCAAAATTAGAATTGTCTACGATGATTCAGCACATTCTAAAGGAATGAAAAGTTTGAACGACGTTTCACATTGTGGACTTATAACTCTTCCTGATTTAAGTAGGGGTATTGCTTCGATTGTGAATGATGGAGAATGTTACAGTAGCAGGTATTGAAGGCTTTTTACAATTGAAATTACTCCCAACAGAAAGAAACTACCTGTATTCGATTCCTTTCGTTATCCGAGATAGCTAACGGAAGATAACAAAGAATATATCGGTTTTAACGAGTTCCGTTTGAGGTAATATAATCCCCCTTTTGCTATCAGCTATTCATAACCGTCATTTGGATAATTACGGAAATAAAATTACTCTTGAAATCAGCAAGAACCTTTGCGTCGACAAAATCATACTATCAACTAAAGGAACCAATGAAGCTCTAACAAATTTCACCTGTTTTACTACTGGAACGGTATATCTAGAACTGGCGGATAATTTATCTGCTGAAAGTTTCTTAAATGTCCTTAGAAGATTTGTAGCTCGATGTGATTATCCCGAATTGATTTTAAGGATAATTTTTATACTAAAACAAAAAAAATTTGGCTCAAAAGAAACAGTAAACGCGGAGTGGAATGTTTGAAATTTACATGTCTTGGAATGAAATGAGTCTAGAAAGGGTAATAAAGAAATGGCAAATATTAACAAAAGCCCAATGCTATCTCAAAAAATCAAAAAATACTATCTCAAAAAATCAGAAGTTTTAATGAAGTTTCTTCTCATTTTCAACCTTCCTTTCACAATATGTGATCGAAAATTCTCTCCTCGTTTAGTATACCACTCTAAATCATCAGGGATCGTCAACAGAAAAGAAACATCTATTTTATCAATTTCGTCTAGGAGTAGCACTTAAACAATAATTCGGCAAATTCTATAGTAATAGAGTTTACAAATTGGGTAAGCAAAACAATACATTCAGTAAGAAAATTAAGTCTAGCATTTTTTTCCAATTTTTTAACCTCAGAAAGGAGAAGAAAACAATGCACCACAGACTGCGATATTATTAGATAATTAAAAGCATTCTAGTAACTTGTTTTTCACCCTTAGAAATTATTAATGATACAGCGTTTCTTCATCTAAAAAACTTGAGCAATCACAAGTTTCTATTCGAAAAATAAGTGAAAAAGTAAAGTACCCTCTTGAATTCCACGTCTGCCTTCCTGAAGTGTGAACAACGGTAAATTGCCAGTTGGTGTAAGTCCCTTCAGTTGTAATACAGACTCACTTTCTTCTCTGAAAGTAAACTTGCATGCGGACTGAGATATGTTAGCATCATAACGGCAAATAAATTATTAAAAAAAACTAATTAAATTAAAAAGACAAATACGCTCCGATAATAACATATCAATCAAGATGGACTTCAAACTGTCTTTGGATTCAACTAATCAAATAACTTAAAACTTACTTGTTTTCCACTCGCTATCTCAATAGTAATTTAGACTAGTAATAGTTTAAAGATTTTACACAACTAAACTCCAGTAGCGATCCTAATTTTTAGTCTGTGACTAATACTCATAGGTCCAAACAAAACACGCAAGAAATCTAAAATTGATAAGCAATAAAATCTTCCAACACAATCTCAGCATTAAGGAATTTCAAATGTTTGATTCATAAAACCATTTTTCTCAATTTCAAAAAATCCTCGTATAAGAGAGGACTGTAAATCTTCTAGGCATAATGAACAATTTCATAAGAAACACAATTTACTACTTTAAACCCCAAATAATTCATCCTGATAAATCATGCTTCTGCGCGCGTCTAAAACTTAACTGAATGCTAAATGAAATACTGTAAAAATCAAAACAGCGCACGCGCTTACCAAGCAGAATTAAGAAGAGAAAAAAGAAACAATTTAAGATAGCGAAAAGCATGGAAACAGTTAATTGGTATAAAAAGGCACACTCTACTACAGAAATATATAAATAAAGTTGCTCATTGTAAAATGAACATGAGCAAAGGGATCAAATGAGGGATCAATTAAGGGATTAAATGAGCTATAAAAAAACCTTAATATTGAGAAGGCGCGAGCCATTTTACCGATTGCTCGAATTTTATGCCGAATTACTTCTTTTCGCGCCGACGGAACACCACCTGAAGAGAAAATATGTATGCAAACTCGTCTTTTGTGAAATTTCCTCCACAAATAATTAAGTAGGATTCAACCATAAGTAAATATTGACAAATATCGTCTGCCATAGTAAAACTTCGAATATTAAATATTTAGGATGGATTAAAGGAAAATAAACTATAAGGATACCAGGTTACATGCAATGAATGTTCCTTAATTGGCAAAGTGAGAAAAAAAAATAGCGTGCATTGGGACAATCTTTTCTTAGCATGTTATATCATGTAAATTAGCTGAAAAAGTGTTCATTTCAATGGACTCTTCTTAAGGGTGCCAGCAAATAAATCATTATTTAAAAGCAAAAAAAGAGAGTGGAGAAGGAAGTTGAAGGAAAAATATAAATGCCGTTCGACTCAAATGCATCAGTATACCATTATTTGCTCCCATATTCCGTAATTTGGATGCAAACAACTGGATAGTGGAGAACAATGAATAAATAGGAAAATGTACTAACCAACTACTCTAAGAAATTTTGGTGGACAATATCCGTGCAAAGGTAGTTCAAAGCATGCTGCTCCGAAATCATTACAAATAAAAACAAATTAAAACTTCACGAAGGTCACTTTTGGCAGAAAACATGCACTATTTTTTTCCTTATCAGGCTCATCAGAAAACTTCCCAGGAATTACAAATTTCGGACATAAAATTTGTACATAGCGTCTAACTGTCTTTTCATGAACAACATGATTCTATTTGTAGAGCATAAAAAGAGTGGAAAACAAATCATCTGGAAAGTTTTCCTTTTAAGATAGTGGAAAACAAAATTCGAAATATCCTATTGTTTTATGAAAGAAATTTGAATGCATGCAAGAAAAATGTGAAAATTCACCTTCGCCGTCTGAGAACAGGCGTGAAAATGAACGGGTTGTAACAGAAAGGATAACTTATATTTGATACTTTGCAAAGTGAATCGCCTCAATTAAATTCATAAACTTCATTTCTTAAATTAAAGACACGAGAAAAGCAATAACAACGTGACATAATGAAAAGGAAGAAGACAAAACCAAGGGAAATCGGGTAAAACGCAAGATAAATACTTCCTTTTCGCGCTTATGAATTCATATGAAGCAGATTTAAAGCATCAGTCCAGAATCGAAAAATGTTAACATGCAAATCACATATAATGAGCAATAGCATCGGTTAAACTGTAAAAAAAAGGATAATGCTAGATAATGTCAAGAAACGAATTTAACCCATCTAATGTATCAAACGATAATCCAAGAACTACTGATACTACCTTAATCACTGTTCCACCATTGCAGCTCTCTACAAGGCTATTTTCTTTTCAATCTAAAGAAGCCAAAACTTGAAATAACAATATACATGCAATAAACCAACACGGGAAGAGTCTTCATGAGTCAATAAGAAAGTGTTTCGTATCAAACTTTGTTAGTGCATTGCATTATTTTGATTGATGATAACATCACTCCTTTCCTGGGTGAATTTTGAAAAGATCGGACTCATGTGCGAATCTTAACAAGCAATGAACATGCTAAATTACTTCAAACATGCCATATAGAAAAAAAGACGTTTTTTTTGAGCTGAAACTTTTTAGAAAGTGATATGCAGCTGCGGGTAAAGACAGAGTGATATTAAAAGTCTATCAAAATATATGCTAATAAACATTCATAAAAATAAATATTTAGCAGAACAAAATAAACCGCTACAACTAAGCATACCTTCAAATGTATCGTCCGAATCGGCCATAAGTTCATCATCCGAACAAATATTTAATATATGCACCAGCATTTCGGTCACTGAAATTAATTTGACGTAACTTATACCTTTTTTTTTTCCAGGAACATTTTAGGTCTTTTTTTATTTTCAACCAATGAAGGGTGTAACACCAAATTATGAAAAGTAGTTAACTTTTCTAAAAAAGTACTTAAACATCGGGATGATGCAAAATTACGTCACATCATGTGTTGTTTCTTCAAATATTTAATTACATTTATCACTTGGGACAACCTTTTTCCCCAACAAAAGGAAGAGACCATGTAAACACGTCCATAAAATTAGGCAACCAATATGGATGCGGTGAACAATTGAACTGCCGTATATTCATCACATTATTTTCGTACTTTAGTATCGCAGCTACAATTTTTCCATTAGAAATATAGCATATAAATAAATTTACTAGTACTTATACAAACAACAATATTCGCATAATTTATATGATTATGAATATTTGTTGAATATACCGACAACAAATATTTTTTAAAAAGAAGAGACGGGAGAAAGAACAAAGAGATAACCTTTGTTGTTATATACATCAAGATAATTTGGGGCACTAAATATAGTTATTAGAGAAGGGAACCCGGTTGCTTGCGATTTTCGATACATTCGATACCTAAAAAAAGAAAATTTGCCTAAAAAAATAAATGACAAGAAAGAACGTATATTATGAACAACAACGTTCGTATTCGTAATGTAAAGAATATCTCTCATTATATTTGATTTCCAACAATTTTAATTACAATCCAGCAACGTAACTGAATTATATACTATAAATTTAATGAAAAGCGTTACCCGGCATCTTGGGCTTCGTGAGCACGGATAATTGACAAGAGGTTATTATGCTGCAAGAAATCACAACATGCTGCATAGCTGCAAAACAAATATACAGTAGCAGTATCCTGCTCTTTGTACGCTTCCAAGTAACCTTGTCTCTTTTTATCCCAGGAGTCCTATCCTACCTATGATGACGGCTAGTAAACCAAAAAGGTCTTGAAAAAGTCTGAGCCTGATTTTCTAGTGCCTATGCACACTTTTGCTGACTCTCTCTCTTATATTAAATTTCTGGAATAATTGACAAATGATTTATGACTTATTGACAAAGGTCTCAAAATTTTTCAAAAACATTTTCAATATATTTCACCAAAATCCCAGAGATCAGTCAATTACTTCCTTTCCTTTTTTATCCTTCTCATAAATAAAAAGTAACAGTATCAGTTCTACAAAAAACATAAGAAGGATCTACAAAAACTCTTGTAGCTGAGTAAAAACCGTAACAGTTTGATGATCATCGAAATTCTCGAACAAAACAAACCTATAAAAATACGAACATCCACGGACAGAATTGTGTGAAAACTGCTCCGAATTCCTTTCACTGCCAAAATCTTCCAATGGATCAGACCATAGTAAATCACACATGGGTCCGAAAGCTGGCGGTTCTTTGAATCGATCCAGCTTAACAAAATTTAAATTACCACAAACTCACTTTTGAACTGTTCCTACACATTAATTTGGCATGAAAAAACATAGAATTAGTAAACGACAGTTCTACTTTTCACATAAATATTTAATGTTTTTATACCTTTTTAATGTCTTCTAAGGTATGGATCTCGGGAGAAAGACCGCCATGGACACAAAGGAACTGCTGATTCATAAGTGCTGCAAGAGGAAGAGTATCAAACGAATCCATACAAGCATCGTACACCTTTTCTGAATATTTGATTTTACCTGAAAAAAAATAAGTTTTTTTGCAGAAAATTTCCACTCCTTAAAAACCTGACGGTTCTGAATTCAACAATAATTTTTTTAGTTCAAATTCAAAACGATAAATCTGACTTACACTCCTGCTTAAAAGTGAAATATTCCGTAAGATGACGGCATTCGTGGTTTCCACGAAGCAAAAATAACGTTGTTGGATAACAGATTTTAAGTGCCCACAAATACAATACGCATTCGATTGAAAAATAGCCCCGATCAACGTAATCTCCAAGAAAAAGATATTTAGTCGATGCAGGCGATCCTCCCACCTAAATTATAAAGCATTATGAATTAAAAACAATGGTCAAACGAACCATTTATCTGAACCAGAAAGAAATCAGTATATAGAAATTCAGCAGTTCTTCAGCAGGCCTTACTCAGCTATGAAATTAAGGTGGAATTAAACAAGTACGGAAGTATATCCTAGGAAGTATAATGCATTTTGGATAACTTAACCTAACTGGCCTATAACGAGTCAATAAAGCGGAACGCAACCATTTAAACTTTTAAAGAGTACCTTAGATTAATCCAATACATAAAAAATTAGAAAATGAGATGACTCTACTACATGTATTAGCAATATATCTTCAATACAATGAAATCCTCTTTTTAAACATGAGTGATGAACTAACTGAATTCTTCCACTAAAATTTTCTCCAGGAAATATTACCGAAACTTACAAACCTCAAAAAGTTTCATTAAATCATAAAATTGCCCATGTATATCACCACATACTGTAACCGGTGCTTCGACATCAAGCATTGTTTTTTCCTGACGAAAAAGGGTTGTGCATTCCGAAATAATTCGTAACGCAACCTGAATAATGTACTGACAGTTGCAAATTTTACAACGATTTCTGCTGCAAATTTAGAATACAATAATACACTAACTGTCCGAAGTGAATCTAAGAATCCTAGAGCTTAAATAAATAGAAATTTCATTCATTTTGGAATCTTTGATGCCTTATTTTTTACCGCATCTTGTAAAACAAAACGGAGACATCTTGAATAAAAATATGAATCCACGGTTCGATGAAAATAACTCAAAAGACTGCGTATATGAAATGACTACCTCTTCCTGAATGCGACCTTCCTTGGTAAAATGCTCCTTCAAAATATCGGAACGTGGCTTCGATGTCCTCCTATCATAAACATCCTCCATACTCAATTTTTCGCTAATTGGAAATTGGACGCCTGTAAAACAAAAGCATATGGCATTCTGAAGAAGAAAGAACTTCCATATTGTGGAATGACAACAAATTCTTAGTAATATAAGTATTCTTTTACATTTCATTACAAAATGCCCAGAAAAGGACAATATGTGATAGTTCGCTAATGGGAGAAAATACATACAAACTAAGATTTTTATTTTCCATCAGATAAAAAAAAATGACAACATTATATTCTGATAAATTTCGTGATTCTTTCAAAAGTCTAACTTGATTTTAGCAATATTTCCGATCAATTTAATTGATGAGATCTTTTTACACTTTCCATCGATCCTCAATAAATATGGAAAAAAATGTTACACGTACTTTTAATGACTCGTTCCATAGCAGCCCTATTTGACGCTTTCGTACTGTTGGCGTTGACCATGGCAGCGTTATCGCCGCTAGCTGAAGTTGTTGCCATTTATGTATAGCAAAAGGCACAACCTTCACTGCGTGCTTATTAGACACGCATTTAGCGTAACGTTTCAATTAATCGATACTATGACTTTGTTGCAGTGCGATCGATTTTTTTCCAATACATCCAATCTACAACAAACTTCCCCTTGAAATAGATAAGATTTTGGACGCTTTTGAAATTTTCCGAATATTTTGTGTGCAAAGATCGGCACACACGCGCCACGTGCAACAATTGATAAGTGGAAAAAAATAATAAAAAATGACAATGATTTCCTCTCTATATCTTTCATATTAACGTAAGGATGATTTTCAAAGAATATTCTGGGACCTATAAAGTGGAAATATATATAATATACGGTGACAGCGTTCTGCTAAACAGATAGCTAGATATTTGATTTTATTTTTTTTTACTATAAAATAATTACTAGAAGGGGGTCGTAAAGCCACTATTCCTCTCCCATCCTACTGCCTTCACTTTTTCTTTGCTGTTTATCCTGTAAAAGGTTCTGGTAAACTGAAAAAAGAAGTTTGCTTATTAGACCCAACTATCCACCAAAGTATGATTACTAGTTATTCAATTAATTATTAATTACTAAATCGTAAAAACAACGCGACTGACTAATGGCTGATAAGGTAAATCATTATCTGAAAGGCTATGTTCAGCCACTATCAGTGGAGTCGCATTGCTTGACAGAAAGGTACTTGAAAAGATTGTGATCAAATAATATGGAGGTCTAATTAAGACCGTACTAGCTACAACCCCCAAAACAGACTCAAGCATCCACATGACATCCTCTTACAAAAGTTCATAGACCTCTGCAAATCGGTCAACAAACCTGTCATAGCGCTAACGTAGGAATTTGATGGTTTCGATGTTATAGATACCTTGCATTGATTAAGTTAATGGTGTGTTGTTTGCCATAGTTCATCCTGACTATTCTAATAAGCTTCATCTGCGTAGCACATGATAAATCAAGCGCTAAATTTGAAAATCCGTTGGTCATTAATTTTGAGATGTCCTCAAGTCTCATCAAGGTGACTTGCAAAGGCTCTTGGCTCAATCTGACAAAAAAACAATTTCCCTTCTATCATAGAACGATAAAAATGGTTCCGGAATGTAAATCATAAATATAAAGTGGACTATAGGAATGTAACTGAAGCACGGATGGCATGGACATAAAATGGATTGGTGAAAATTTGCGGTGGACGTGTACGTGCGTGTATGCATCTGGGTAGGTGCATTGGAGTGAGGAATGGATGAGTGTGGATTTGCATTGCATTGTAAGATGTATATAGAATGACATGGATGCTTGTAGGTGAAGAGGGAACAAATAGAGAAACATAATTTTGCATTCATTTAAACAATGATTAGTTTTTGTAGAACTGCTTCCACCTGCCATCCTTGTCTTTCCTCTCACTCCCTTTCCTCTTTCTCTGATCGCTCCAAACTCCATTATTGATACCGACGTTATCTGATGTAAGAAGGCAAGCAATCACTTATGTGCACTTATATTTGCGCTATGATCCATTTTTGGGGTTGAAATCCGCAGCAGTTTTATACTTTCTACTTTGTTATTCTTTACAGCAAGAGCTGAAAGCATTGTTCACGCTTACAACGAGATACAAATTTACAAGTCAAGAATATTGAAGATTCCTGAACAGTGCTGCCGCCTGATCCTGCTCACCCCTGTGCAGTACACATGTGACTGTAGGCTACAGTAATTTCATGAATGGAATATATATTTGGATACATCTTCTGGGTAGAAGTTAGCAGATGAAATGACAGAAATTAACCACAAGTTGAAATTCCTAATAAAGTCTTATCGATTCCCTGAGACCATTAATACCGATGATTTGAAAGACAGGAAGAAGAAGGAAAGTGAGTTACAATATGGTTGATGAAGTCGCACTGAAATGTTCACACAGTTCTCGTAATCACTGCAAACAATACTTCTCAATACGTCAATAACACATTACAGATTGCGCGGTACCTTCTCAAACTATCTTTAATGATAGTTTCGGAAAATATATGTGTAATCATTACAGGAAAACGAAAATAACGAAATTTGACAAAAAAAGAGGCCTTCATTATTTACCTCTTTTGTTAATTAATAGCCAGTTAAAAAGAAAAAGAAAAGCACTTTCCAGGATAGGATTTCGTCAGACATCCATAACAAAACTATTTTTGACAGAACAGTAATGGAAAAAGTAACAGTTTTTATTTTTCCTCAAGTAAGAAGTCGACAAAGTTATCATATAGTACCAGCAACACAACCAATTTATCAGCTTATATGTGCATGAACTGTACTACCAACTGCGGACATAAATTTCTGTAATTAAATTTGATGTTTTAATGACGCACTACGGTCCATTATATCCGAACTAGTGAACTTTTGCAAAATTCTTGCCACAGTTTGACATGCGTGGTAGCATTCTGGACTCATCATTCTCATTTCGGAACATAGTTCCTTCGGCAACTTGTAAGTTAAAACCAACATCTGAAGGACGAAACCGAAAAAACAAGAGTGTAACATATATATTCAAGCAATGAAAGACGGCTTTCCACTTTCTCCAACAAGACTTTAGATTAGTAAATTCACTTCAAATTAAGAACAAACAAAATTGCTTAATAATGGAGAATGTGAGAGAATTGCAATCTAAATCGGAAGTTACCAAGTGTTTTTCGAAATATTCTCATTTATTCAACACAGGGGTGTTAATTACAATATCAGTTAAGTTCAATTGTAATCTATATATCAGATGTTTGAAACCAAGAATCTTAAAATTAATTTCCTAAAAATTTTAAAATATTGTCCTTGTCTGACAGTACACCAACTACCTAATAATTTTCTCGAAATTGTTAGAAATTAATCACCAATCGAATTCAACGAAGCTTAGCTCAATGGTAGCCCAACTGCATGTTAGCCATTAAACTGTCCTTTTTTTCACCTGCTAGTTTTGCCTGTCCGTGGCAATGATTAATTATCTCAAAGAAGAAAAATTTAACTTATAATAAAGATATTAATTTTTAATTATTTCAAGGAAATAAAATTGGTTAAACACATAATATCCGTTATCACTATACCAAAAGCTAAATTTAACTGAATGCTTCACATCTGGTTCAGATGAAATCTTAGAAAAAATAAAGTAGTAATTTTGAGAAATTAGAAAAATAATCACTAACAGCTTAATCATTGAGTAAACAAAGCGGAATGATTTAATATTTTGCATCGTCGACCATTAAGGATAGAATACTGAGTGAAAGTTAGAAGATACGCAATTAAATATCATCAGGTGACACACAGCACTGTGTTTGTCCTGATCCTTACCTAATACTTGATGGTTATAATTAATTGAGCGTCAAAATGAAATCTTTGTAGCGAAAAAACAAATACGGAAACTAATACTAGGAGATAGGAAGCTTAGGAATGAAATGCACAAAGTAAACGAGCCGATAGGTGAATGTATGAGGTGTGGAGCATTAGCTCTTTCAAGCTATATGTACGACTCAAAATGATCGAAACAGATGTTTTAAGGGCAATAAATGTTCCAAATAACCTATCAGCCAACACGAAACTTCTGCATCCTTCCTAACTCGTTTATTTCCTTCAAAAATTATAATGCTTAAATTTTAAAAAAAGTTAAAAATTCGAAACACAATGTGTAAAGATGTGCACATTCTGTGCCGCGTATATATATGCGTGGTGCTCCTTGAAATTCGTAAAACAACTGGAAGACAACGAAAAACAAATACTTGTATTGCAGAATATACGGATCAATGGAAGATATTATCCGGAAAATTCTGTAAATACCTGACATAATTTGAATGGGTGTAGCAACAGAATAATGCATGGAAGCATTCTCGGAAATATCATGTTTAATTAGTTAAAACACATTTGATTGGTGCACCTTTGTAGGAGAGTAGAAACTGACCGTTTCCTAAAATGCTAAACTGCTCATATGAAGATGAAGATAATGACAGATCTACTGTTAACTCTTCGTTATTTACAACACATCTTCCGGCTGTTTTCGTTACTAACTTGATATTTCAAATCCTTCCTATCCTTTTTAGGATGTTTTTGAAGAGATATTCACAATCCTATAAATGAACTAGAGATATTAATGCTTTCTCAGAGACTTTTTTATCAATAATTCTGATAATAGCAAGCAAACAAATGAAGAGATATTGGCATTACGGGAACCCATATCTACCTCATTTGTTTGCTTAGCCGATAAAGACAGATGTAAAAATAAATAAATATATATATAATGTATTTGGAAAATGGAAGCCTCAAATAGAGAAAGAGTGAAAACAGCAAAGATGCACAAAATTACTAAAAGCTTAAAAGCAGTATAGAAGCAATGTGTAGCGAAGTGGATAAAACAATTCCTAAATGCTTCCGTTGCAGTGATTATTTACCACCATCTCAAATATTTACACAATTTTCCGGGTAAGTGATGCTTCCTTTGCTTCAAGAAATGAGAGAAGCATCCCTTTCAAATAAGTTTTCCAATTAGTTACGAACAAAGTTGATGATGGCGGATTTGCTGAATAAGTTGGATTAAGTGATATGAAAGAAATCTAATGAAACAGGGGAAGATGCCCCCTTTCCTGATGATGCGTCCTTTTTTGTTGAAATAAAATCTATAAAAATGAAACAGGTAACTTGCACTGAAAGGTAGAAATAGGAAGAGAAAGTGAAGAAGAGATGAGATGGAGCGTTTGTGTACAAAAGAATTGTTAGAAAGGACAATTTATGAACTCAGTGTAGAAAGAGCGGATAATAAAGAGAAAAGGAAGAGGAAAAGGCTCGAGAAGGGAAGGGCAAGTACTGCGGAAAAATAATGTGTAGTGCGGTTGAGGGGGGAGGCGGGGGAGGAGACCCTCCTCTCTTCTATAAGCTTACTATTAAGCCTGAGCTTTGAAGCTTTCAACAATCAGCTTTGCATTTTGCCTGTCAACTGTCACAAGCGCCTCAATGCCTACCTCCCTACTATTTTCCCCTCCTTCATCTCCCCTTCTCTCCTCTCCATATCCCTTACATATACCAAACGTCTCATTTTCACCTTATTTCAGGTTTTCATTAATTAGCATACAAAAGAAATTGCCTCCGAAAAACTGAAATAACGCTAAAGTCACTAAAATATCGATTTTGCCCCAATGCGACTGAAAGTGCCACAGGAGTGACATGCAACCCCGATGAGGTAGTGAAATAGGGTAGACTCACAGGAAGCACGCGGTGTATTTTCTTGGCTCTTAAAGCTGTTTATACTTTTTGGTAATACTAACTGTTCCGATAATTGGAAAGGTAGCAGCAAGTGAAGAATGCATCTCACAATTAACTGATACTTTTGTTTGTAAACATTGCGCACCGTAAACTTTCCCGCAACATATGGCTTACTGAATAATTAAATTCGTAACTAACTTCAAGTCCTTCATATAAAGAGTGCTGAGAGATCCAAATTTACAATGATGAGCAGACGACCGAGTAAAAAGGATGGAAATTAATTGGACTTTGGGTAAAAAATTCACCTGATGCGTTTAACTGGATTATACCTAAATTCAGGTTAATATGAATTCGCAACCTTTCGCTTTACTTTGGCAGTTAAATTAACGAGAATACTTCCGGATTTTTTCCTATCTTATCAGTACAGACATGCACATCTTATTAAACTGCAACAGCACGGGAAAATGCAGAGACTTTTTTTTTGCAGGTATATAAATGAAAAAAGCTCGAATTTTCGTAATAGTTGGAATTTTTTATTATTTTCATGACGAAAATGATAAGTTTTGTCTTCTATTTTGGGAAATAGAAAAGGTATCATAGAGAAGAGAAAAAGCGCTACGAAATATCATTTCCGACATTCACCACCATCACTGTAATGAATTATTAATTGTTAAACTTCAAGAATTGTAATGAAATAAGCTAGTGCTGAGAATAGGAATAAATACGAAGCGACAATCACTAATAATCAATATTTAAAGAAGCACACCTTATCGATGCGCTCTTCAGCACCACCTTTTATAAATTGATCGATAATCAGACGAATTCTAGTCCTTTTCATATCCAGCAAGCATAAGGAGACATATCAGAATGAAAAAAAAGCAGTACGATAACGTCAGCATTACCCAGATCCTTAACCAGATGCATTACCCGAAATGAAATGACCCCAAGAAGGTCCATCGAAGTCTTCATCTGACGTCCGCTATCACATAATAGTACATAATCCGACCCTAATCTATTCACTTCTGATTTGGCTTAGATAATTAATCTAGGCTTACTCTGATATTATCTAATCCTTCATATTTGATCGAAAACAAATCAGTAATAGACTATGTAAAACGCATCATATAATATCTTTTAAATTTACTGGAATGAACGAAGTCAACAACACGAACAAATGCGAACAAAAAACATTATTTCTTTGTTCAAAATAAATGACAGAAGGCATTCGGCAGTGAAATAAGCAGCAACTTTCAATAATTTTTCAGGCTGAGAATATGATGTTAACCATAATAACAATAACTGCACTATGTGTTAACGGTGGTAAAGAGAGAAGAAAGGAAGGACTGATGTGATAAGTTGGAGTATAAAACACAATGGATCTTACTATTTGGTAGATAGGATTTTTCGTAGAAAAAAAGGATAGGGTAAGGATTCGTGTTAAGATCTATGAAACAAACAGATAAATATAAAAAGTGTAAGATTATGTATGTATCTGGGGTCTTGGAATAAATTTCAAGTCATCGGGAAAACAGAAGTATATTATACCGGGTAGTGGTGGTCAGATTTCTATAGGACGGTGGCGGTTACAGCTTCGGACATTAGTTGACTGCTCCTCAAAACATACTGGGTACGTAGATGGATGGAAAAGCTCACACATTACCGGCACCCTTACGCTTATCTCAACTCCTAACGCTACTACTACCACTACACCAGCAGCCCATCAATGACATCCACAAAGCTGACATAGTCCCTCTCTTTTTGCTAATCTCTTGCCAATCTCCGATAGCTAGCTCGATTCTGCAGTTCGGATAATTGTTCATACGCTGTTTGATAACCTAACACAGATAAGATTGCAGCTGCTTCAATTCTACTTGCAGCCGTAGCCGTAGCCGTAGCCTTAGCTGCAAGCGGTCTCGAAGCCCACATATGATTCTCACTCAACACAACCAATGTTCCTTTTTCTCCTTTTTTTTTCTTTTCGTAGGAAAAACACAGCGGCCTGAATATTATTGATGGTTTGTGGTTAGATGAGGTAACAAGGGAAAAACTTGATAGGCCTTGCCATGTTCTCCTTAGCCAGCAGCAGTAGCAGCCAGAAAAGCCAAGTAAATATGCTGTCTCGCCACTGTCTGTCCAATTTTTTACTATTGTTTTCTTGCCTGAAGAATATCAATGTATTGTCGCCAGTCATGAATACACTTACAATAGTGATAGCACCATCAGTAATTACAGTAACAGTATCAACTTTTGCTGCTGCAATATAAGTCGTTATTGCTGTTGCTGTTGCCGCTGTTGTTTTTGTTGTTGCTGCTGTAATAGTTGTTGTTGTTGTTTAGCTATTATTATTGTTGTTGTTTAGTTGTTATTGTTTTTGTGGCCACTAATAACAATCGTTTTATTCCTTCTTGAGTTAGTTAACAGGTTAATCGATAACTGATGATATTCCTGACCGTGTTAAGATATAGCGTATATATAAGCGTGGACCGCTAGAGGATTTAGCAATACATGTTGACATAACAATTAGCAGCAATAGAAAAGTAAGGAAAAAAGCACGCAGAGCATGCAGAAAGCAACAATGAATGTCACGGGGAGTGCTTGGCTGCACGCGCTCGACGATGTGCTACTTCATTGGCGCTTAGGCATACTAACGAAATAGCTATTCAGCAAGCCACCTTGGCCGTTTAATATCCCCAAACTCCCAAATAACTAACTAACTGGTGGGTAAACTGCTATATTTTGTGTGTGTGTGTGTATGCGTGTGTATGTGTGTTTGTGTGTGTATCCGTCTATACGTGTGTGTGTGTGTGTACGTGTATGTATGTGTATGTGTGCATGTTTTTATGATAATGTGTTTGCAAAGCAATTTAGTTTCAAGGCATTTAATCACGTAGGAACTATCCCTTTATGGAGCAATATTCAAGTAGCAGTAAGTTGACGTTCGGACGGATGTTTTCATTTTTGTTTTTGTTCCAGTTACGGGAGCTCTGCTACACCTCAAATAAAAAGTTTTCGAGAAAGAAAAAAAAGGTATGATGAGGAGAGATAGATAATTAAAAAGCGAGATCCGGAAGGGTTGACAGTAGTGAATGTTGTGATCACTTCTCCAAAATTATCGGTTTTGTACCGTCTTTTCCTTCCAAGTTTCTTAGCAATGACAACCATGAAGGTAAACCATGCGCTAATAATGTCAATAATGTAAATAAGCTATCTTTTCTTCATTTATCAACAACAACTTCCCTACAACTGATATTATCATTTTATTATCAAACTATTATCAATGATTTGTTTTTCTTTTTCTCCACTAATTACATTAATTATTTCAAATTCAATT